TTCAGGAACAAAATACTATGATGTATAAAGTCATAAATATAGATTATATTTATATATTATTCCATATTAAATATGAAAAAGTTATTTAGTCAAGAGCAGATTTGAGCAGAAAACACAATTTTTTCTTTTGTTCTTTAACACAGACTGACAGACAGCAGGTATACTAAAAACTGCTGTCACTTTCATACCAAATGCTATTGTTAACAATGTTAATTAATTATTGGTTATTGTTAATTAATGTTAACAACAAAAGACAAAATCATTCACTGCTCTTGACTGAATAATTTTTGTAACTTTAATTTGAAGAATTAATCTGTTGTTTAATTTACAGTGAATTTACTGTTTTTAATTTACAGTTTATTCCATTTCTGCAGCATTTCTGTACCTGAATGTTTTCCACCAAAACTGTTTCTAAAACGAAATTCAGGTCCTGAGTTTAATTTATAATACTGGCTAAGCAAATTACAATATACTTAACTTATGTTCTCTGCATGAAGTAACGTCTGGCACAGTCGCAGCCTGTGCTTATTAGAAAGCAAACAAATAGCACTAATAATCATAAATTTTCCGAACGTTTGTGTAAAATAATGGAGCATTAGGTTATGAATATTGCCTTAAAAGTCATTGAAATTTATTGGTTGAACGAACCCTGCATTTAATCAGTGAATGCCTACTATATAGGAGTTAGCCTGTTACACAAACTAGAGTCCTGTTTTTCTGAATATCTGCACGATCGCAAATGTACAATAAACAACAAGTTACTGAGTAACTTTCAGACACAAAATTGGGGGACATGTCCCCCCTGTCCCCAGTGGAAATTATGCCCCTGTGTGTAATAGTCTGCAAGGTTGCAAAGGAACCCAGGGTAACTTCTCTCCCGCATCCCACACACACTAGTGTCTACCCGCCCGCACCCGCACCCGCACCCGCACCCACCCTTCAAGTGTTGTCCCGAGCCGCACTCTGCTGCGTTAGGTCCCGCGATAGTGCAGGTCTCAAGGTGCCTGTTATAATGTTATGATGGAGGCTCTGGACTACAGCATAACTTGTTTTTCTATAACAAACTATAAAATATTTTCTATAAAAATTAATGCACTGGCAGTGGCAAATAGCTTGTTTTATATTTAATTTGATTACATTAACGTTATAAGTTGAGATTTACAAGAAATATTTTAACTGCTACAATGTAAAAGGAATACTGCTGTAAAAAAAGCACCTTATTTGTTTAAAGTGTTTGCAAACCAAATGTTATTGCACTTTTGTTCATATAGCAGTACTTTTAAATGGAAAAAGTGCACAATACACTACTTTGAATGCATTATTGAATGTTGGGCATAATGCGATTAATCGCGATTAATCACAGACAATCATGTGATTAATCGCGATTAAAAAATGTATTGTTGCCCAGCACTAATATATATATATGTTTTGTTTTTTTTACGAACAAGACTAGTACTGGCTAGGTGTCGTCATGATTGTGACCCAGTGTCGGCTCAGTTTTAGTACCCAGACTCGGGCCAGTACCGGCTAAGTGTTTCAATTCTTGTCGGCGTGATTGTGGCCCAATGCCGGCAGTTTTGGCAGCCGGACTCGGGCCGGTGTATTTGGGCCGATTCTGGGGCGTCATTCATCCCATGTCCATGCAGAGTATGGCAACCGCAGCCGGGCTGAGTTATTTCTTCCGGCTTGCCGGATCTGGGCTATTATCGGCCCAAACCGTTTTGGCTACCTGAGAAGCTACATGATAAGAAAAAGCTAATAAATTATGATTTAAACAGTGTAAGAAAAATGTACAAAAGCTGTCACTGAGGCGGTACCTTTTCAAAGGTACACTTTTGTACCTTTTAGGTACTAATATGTACACTTTATGTACTAATATGAATCTTTAAGTGACCAATATGAACCCTTTAGGTACAAAGGTGTACCTTTTGAAAAGGTACCGCCCAAGCGATAGCTTTTGTACCTTTCTTTCTGAGAGTGAACCTCCAGTGTTACTTTAAAGCCATTTAGGGGAAACACTGGTTAGCAATTCTCAACACTTACATATGCTAATGTTGTGGTTGTTGCAAGCAGATCTTAAAATAAACTATGCAGTAAGCAAAGGTATTGGCTACATATAACCTCAGAAAAGGGGAAAACCTGCTGCTTTGGCCGGAACAAAATCTTCTTTTCAGTCAAATAAATTTGCATGTTTGATGTAACAGTAAGTAAACATCATTTTTTACAATCAAGAAATTGATTTTCAGTGAATAACCTACTTTTTTGCAATAACTTAGCAAAATATGCAAATTAAGGCAGAGATTGCTTATTTATCCAACAATATGTTGGATCTGTCAAGCGAAGAAACTGTATGGCAGCCTTATTAAATGCTTTGTGAGTGAGTTGGACAAGAATAATTTTTGGCAATACTGTACTCACTAGTTTTATAACAATCGCATGCATATAATAATCTGAGGTGATCTCACATTGACTTTGCTACAGGATGTGGTAAAAATGGAAACCTGTTGCTTGAACTGAGGTAAGTAGCCCAGCATTTGACTCTACAACCTCAAAACACACTAATGCAAACGAAAATCTATCTACCCTCAGCCTTTAATGTTATCAAATGCATTACATATCACATTTTTCACTGTTTGGTCATAGCTGCATCACTTATCTGACAGTAGAGAATCATATGTCAGTCACAGGCAGCTAAATGACGAGTCACTATACGCTGTGAAATCGCAGCCCCAGGCCGCCACATGTAAGAGGCTGTGAGTGTGTGTTTACAGGAAGTAACATGTGAAGGTCATCAGCCTACACTCTTGGTCTTGAAACTTTTGACATCTTGAGTGTCATGCATCATGTACATTTCACGTCTTTGGATATTTTTTGGTGCTTTGGTGTCTTCAAATGGTAGGTTCAAAATACCAGTATTTATTGTCAATTATAATATAGTTTATATGATATTGGGGACAAAATAAATTGTGATAATTTTGACTACTTATAATAGTATTAATAAATTTTTTATGCCTGTCAATTTAAGCTCTGGACCGCTGGAATACAAGATGTATAGATGTCACCGTCAAAGCCTCTCTGAAATCCGAAGTCTTTCTCCCATGTCACTTTAATATAAGCCATTATAATGGAACATTGACATTGAATTGGAGCCACTATCCCACTAATAACAGACTTGTAACGATCATGACTGATGGCAAAATCATCTTTGGAAGTCCTAGTGAAGGACGAGTGAATGTTTTTCCCCTTCTTTCTAAACATGGAAACTTCTCTATCCTCATCCATGATCTGCAGTCTTCAGACATTGATACCTACTTATGTCAGCTGAACAGTGAATGCTGGAGGGTGAAGATCATTGAACGTCGTCCATACAGTAAGATCAGTGGTCTTATTGTCATTAGTACTATATATAACTGCACTAGCATGCATTCAGGCAAATGTTAAAATAAATGTATACAATATATTTAACAAAACAACGGTTTCATTATTTTATTACCTTTTACATTCTCGCAGATGCATGACTTTTTGTGTTTAACAATTATATGTTCTAATTCACAGAAATATGCAGTTTAAAAGCATGTTCCAATTTGACAACTTAACCTATGTAGTGTGACAACATGCCAAGCAATAACTTTGGAGATATTCAAAAACATTTTGAAGACAATTTTTTTTGTATTTAGTATTTAAGTGCATGTACAGACATTAATATCTACAATGACAATTGTATATACATGTACATTTAGCAGACACCATGGCTATTAATCAAAACTGTATGATTTTGAAACGGTTACATTATAACTGTACATTATAATTGTAATTTTCTTTGTAGGAATCAGTGAGCCAAACCCCTGGTTCTACTTTGCAGCTGGAGCTGGATTGTTTATTCTCCTTTTTATTGCATTCAGCCTGTTATCAAAATTCTGTGGTGAGCATTGTTTCTTTACACTTTTTTTTAGATAGTATAATTTTAACAGAATTCTTATATTTATTATATAAAATAAATACAACTAATAATTTATGTATTTACTCAAATAAATGTTTTTTTTTTTAATTCTCTTCTCATGGACAGGAAAGTGTGTAAATACATCATCCAAATCGAATCCAGTTAATAAAGTACAGAGTGAAGGTACACAGTATAACACACCCGATAAGTGCTTGATGTTCTTTGACATTCTCTGGAGTTTCTTGACATCTATGAAAATCATTTTTAGGTAGTAATTCCCCTCAAGAAACACAGAATATTGAAAGCAGTGAACATAGAAACAAAAACAAGTGGGGTAAGAAACATCTCTTAAATGCTTTACTTACCAGCATATGGTCTTGAAAAACACACAAGATACACTTAAAAATCAATGCATGTCATTGCACTTCATACAAAATATTAATCCTAGGCTGCTTGGAACATTTGAGAGAGAGGCAAAACGGTTAGAAAATGTGTTTTAACAATAAGAAATAAACGAAGTTTTCTTGGGGGGAAAATTGCATTTATTTGATCAAAAATACAGTAAAAACAGTAATATTGTAAAATATAATTATAAATATCATTACTTATATTATAAGTGTTTACTTATATTATATGTTTTTACTTATATTATATTTAAAATATTTTGAAATGTCATTTATTCATGGCAAAGCTGAATTTTCATTAGCCATTATTCCAGTATTCAGTGTCGGTGTAAGATTAAAAAATAACAAAAAGAAAGAAATTACTACTTTTATTTGCATAAAATTGATCAAAAGTGGCAATAAAGACATTCATATCATTACACAAGTTTATTATTATTTTTTTATTTTTTTTTTTCAAATAAATGCTAAATTACATTTTTTTCAATTACATTTATTCATTTAGCAGACGCTTTTATCCAAAGCGACTTACAAATGAGGAATACAAAAAGCAATTCATTATAAAGAGGCAAAATAAACACAAGAAGTGTTCGTAATACAAAGTTTCAGTCATCGATTAGAATAGAACCGGGAGGGACTAAGGACAAGTGAATCATGTCAATATATGATACATTATTCCTGGTTTCATATGCACTATGCATTCCATTTTGGAATTTCAACAGACCAAAATCAGACCAAAAATGTTCTGGTCAAAGAATCTATGATGTTATTATTGGTATTATTGATTAGATTACCTCAGAATAAAAATTTTATTTGTCTGTTGATCTTATTTCTGAAGGTGTGAGGAGGGGCCCTACAACTGTTTATGGTATGAATGATGTATTTTGACTATTTTCACTGTGTGAACACAACATTTTTTTTTTCACTATGATTTTGTGTAAAATTATAAATGTATTTTTTTTTTTCATATCTAGAAAATGACATACATGCTCCAAATCAAAGTTCTGATGTGCAGCAGGGGCAACATCCTCAGAGAGGTGAATCATCATTTTTTGTTTTTGATTTATTATATTACTTTACATGATAAATTATGCTAATCTAATTTTGAAAAAAAAAAAAAAAAACAGCCTTCAGAGCCGTTCCCGAGCCAACAAGAAGTCATCCTTCGGATGCAAAACCATACTACGGTAAGACAATATTTGTGCTTGAAAAAAAACAGATTAACTGTATGTGCTAAGAATGGAAATAATTCGAACATCTGTTTGAAATATTTCAGTCAACCAGGCGGAGCTCTCCATTCCAGTAAATGCTGGCAAAAAACGGAAAAAACAAAAAAGTAATTACTTTTCATTGTTCTGAATTAAATGTCATTTATTTTGTATATGAATGAAAGTTTATTACATGGCACTTTTTCAGACCAATTACTGTAGCTAAAAGTGTAATTATATTGTTTTCTTTCATTTCTCCGACAGATTATCAGTTTAAAAATCCAATATATGCAGACTGAAGTGAGACTGTGACGACAGAATTCAGTTCCACAGAATCCATAATACATGTTTCAGTCTGCATAACATCATTTTTCATTATAAACAGTTCAATATCTCGATGAATTCATGTGAATTCATGTGAATAATTCATTTCATTAAAAAAAAATCTGTTTGTTAAGTGACATGCACAAAACATTGAATGAAAATTGTATGCTTCAGAATTATTATCATCCTTCTGCCTCCTTTGTTTTGCATATTACAAACAGCAGTTGATACATTTTAATATTAGTTGGTCAGCAAACATACTGGTGATAACTTTCAGTTTGTCAAAGTTGACATATAGTTTTCAGAAATTGGCAAATACATTGTTTGATATTTTGATCTGGAAGTCACTCGTTTTCTGAATATAATTAGTCATAAAAATTCTCTCTTTTAAATCAAAATGATTTTAACTTGTCCAAATGTACATCTGGTAGCCTAATTAGCATTTGTTTACAGGAAGTAGCCTACAGAACTATCTGGTTATGAAGTGCTGTATGTTTTAATTAATTTGATACTTTATTGTATTTATTCTGAACATATATAATATGATGCACTCCAACCGGAATACACATTTTTACACAACAGCTGCTACTGTGAACACCATTGAAAGCCTACAGTGAACGCAGCAGTCGTATGTCATCCAGTGCTGCAGGTGGCGCTAATGTGTTTTCGCGAGCTGTGCGTAAGAAGAGACGAGTTCAAACGCTAATGTAAACCATCCAACTAACTTGTAAACATGAAATAAGGTCTTCTGTGCCAGATAACGTGTGATTATGACTTATTAATATTCTGCTGAGCTTTAAGAAATCGCAAGAGGTGAAAAATACAGTTGAGCAACGTTAGGAAGTGATAAACGGCACAGAACGGTCATAGACATGTCAAAATCAGAGAAGAGCAGAAAAACAGAGCACAGTGAATCAAGAAAGCTGCCAATCTATCAGCACAAAGACAAACTCATTCAGGCAGTGAAGGAAAACACCTTCTTGATCGTAACGGGTGAAACTGGCAGCGGAAAGACCACTCAACTGCCTCAGTACTTGTTTAAAGCAGGTATGTATGAACATGACCACTAACGAACAGCAATTGACAGGCATGTTCGTTTCCTGTGTGTCGGATCTATTCCTCTTCTGCAGCGTGTGTGTGTGTGTGTGTGTGTGTGTGTGTGTGTGTGTGTGTGTGTGTTTTTCTTCAGGTCTTTGCAGGAATGGCAGGATTGGTGTGACTCAGCCCAGGAGGGTTGCGGCCATCACTGTTGCCCAGAGGGTGTCCCATGAGATGGGGGTCCGGCTGGGTGAGGAGGTGGGATACCAAGTGCGCTTCGATGACTGCTCAACAAAGGTACGAGATGATACTCTTATTTAACACTTCAACATTTGTGTCTACACTCTCAGAAAAAAAGGTACAAAAGCTGTAACTGGGGCAGTACCTTTTTAAAAGTTACACTTTTGTACCTTTTTTACCTCTAAAGGGTGCCTATAAGTACCTTAAAAGTACATATTACTACCTAAAATGTACACATTAATACCTAAAATATGCATATTACTACCTAAATGTTATATATTAGTAAGTTCCGAAAAGGTACCACTCCAGAGACAGCTTTTGTACCTTTTTTTCTGAAGTTTTGGAATATTCTATGCAGAAGTTTCAATAATATTTTAGTTTAGTTTAGTTTAGTTTTATTTAAAGTTTGACATGACAGGATATTGCGACACAAAACCCTGAAATGTGTCAAACATACACATACTCCAAGACAATCATTACTTAGTATAAAACAAATAAAAGATAACTGATATACAAGCATAATAAATAAAAATAAAAAATTTGCTTATATATATATATATATATATATATATATATACACACACACACACACACACACACACACATACATACATATATATACACATACATATATATGAATAACACAGATTCACAGAAAAGGCATCCTAATCAAGGACCTGTAAGTTATCCATACAACAAATTTAGAGCACGGGGAATAAAGGCGAGTTCATGACGTTTGGTTTTACTCCTGGGTACAACATATACACTACCGTTCAGAAGTTTGGGGTTAGTACGATTTGTTCTTGAAAGAAATGTATGCTTTTATTCAGCAAGGATGCTTAAAATGGATCAAAAGCGTCATTTATAATTTATAATTGTACAAAAAAATGTATTTGAAATAAATGCTGTTCTTTTGAACTTTCTATACATCAAGGGTCCTTGAAAAAAAATATAATGCTTTCAACAGAATGTTGAACAGAAAAACAGAAATGTTTCTTGAGCTGCAAATCAATATATTAGAGTTCAGAATATCAGATTTCTGAAGGATTATGTGACACTGAAGATCTGAACTGAACTGACACTGAAGAAGTAAGGGATGCTGAAAATTCAGCTTTGCCGTCACAGGAATAAATTACATTTAGTTAGTTATATTGTTAACAATATTACTGTTTTACAGTATTACACTTGTTATTATTTACACTTGTTGACTTGAGTGTAAATAACATTAAAAGAATCTTACTTACCCCAAACATTTGAATGGTAGTGTAATATCATCATCATATTTCATATAGGACCATATATTGTTGTTATTGACACTAAAGTTTGCATAATTTCAAGGCAGTACAACAAATATTACCACAATGCATAAAAATATTTAATACATATATTTTTTAAAAATCATCTTTTTCACATTGTAGCACTGAGAATTAAATTGTGTTGCATTATGGCATAAATGCAAATAAAATCATGTCACAATAAAAAAAAGGGAACTTTTTTTTTAGATTTACACATTTAATGATTTTTAGGGAGCAGCTAAAAGGTAGATGCTATTTAAGTTAGAGAGAAATGGCATCTTTGCTATTGTGGTAAAAGCTGCAAATAGTGATAAAAGCTTTTTGCAAGTGAATAAAAATATGCTATTTGTATTTTTAAAGGTGCATGATCTGGGTTTGTGCAAGTAGCCTCTGCCAAAATTATGCTTTTAGTGTAATTAGTGTCATTTTTAATGGCTTTTTTTTTCTCATATCAGGAAACTATGATTAAATACATGACAGATGGCTGTATGCTGAGGGAGATTCTTGCAGACCGCAGTTTGTCACAGTACAGCATTGTGATCCTGGATGAAGCACATGAGAGGAGCCTGAATACAGTATGTGGACTATATATACGCAATTTGTGGTTTTACTTGGGAAATTAGTAAAATTTTTGGAAGATGTTATAATTTTTTATATATATATATAAATAAATATTGATTGTAGTTTCCTTGTACAAAAAAGCACTGCAGTGGTTCCTTGTTAAAATGATGGTATCAGATGGTAATAATAACATGGTAATCCAATGTACTTAAAATAATACTATGGTATTAACATAAACAATGTCCAAACTAGGGCTGTGACGATAAATCGATGCAGAATCGATTCTTCCGAATGCATCGCGATTCAATCTGGAATCGATTCTTAGCTTACATTTTAACAGCAGATGGCGCTGTACTCTAGTTTTTATCCGCACACTCAAGTGCTCATGAAGAAGAGCGCTTGTGCGTTCAGCTGAGTCTGTGGCTGTGTCCGAAATCGCCCCCTATACCCTCATTCACTATTCCCTACATTAGGTCACTAATTCAGTTCACTAGAAGGAGTGAATGAAAACGAGTAGTGAATTCGGACACTGAGTGCACCGGAAGGAATGCCACTTTTGCATAGTTTGTGCTTGCTGTTTATTAATCATTTGAAACTAGCAGCTCC